TAGCACCATAAAGAATTAAATACTTTAAAGCTTTAAAATAATATATGTAAACTACTGCTGTGAAAGCTACAAGACATTGTTGAAAGAAGATTTAAATAAAAGGAAAGATAGCCCATGTCCATAGATTGGAAAACTAGGTATTATGATATACTAGATCATGAATTGACTTATATGTTTTACACAAATCTAGCTGTTTTTTATACAATTATTTTGATTATTCTTTTTGTAAGGATAAGAGAGCTCTTAATCTGAATCAGATCAAATCTGAGGCCAAATTTCTCGTAGTGCTGAGCATGAAGCCTTTGTTTTTGATTTGTTGTTTTGGTTTTGGTTTTAGGGTTTTAACAAAAAGGCTAAAAACCCTTGAACTCAGGGCCTATGCACTGTCCCTGAGTTTTTTTGCTCAAGGCTAGCACTCTGCCACTTTGAGATACAACTCTACTTTCAGTTTTCTGGTGGTTAGAGATAAGACTCTCATGGACTTTCATACCGGGGCTGACTTCAAACTGCAATCCTCAGATCTCAGCCTCCTGAGCAGCCAGGATTATAGGCAGGAGCCACCAGTGTCTGGCTGGTTTTAGATTGTTTTTAATAGATAGTCAATCTTTCCAGAAGGCCCACCCTATCCCCAAACTCAAGATTCTCTTGCTTCAGCCTTCTGAGAGCTGGGATTATACTTGTGCCCCACCCCACCCATCTTAAAATGGATCTTTTGTGTCATATAAATAGCCCTCCATTTTGATGCATGGGAGGTAATAACCTCTGAACCCTTTATAGGACAGGCTGAACAAATAATGATAAATACAGATTCAGATATCTCTATGAATAACAGTGATCCATATCCTACAAAAATAAATCCTAGTAACAAAAAGCTTCTTGGTATTTCATCCTTTGCCAAATTGTCAAAGCTGCCTTGAGTTAAAAAGAGGGTCTTCATTACAATACTGTGTAAGCTAGCCTATTACAAAGGCAAATGCTTCATTTTATTAGCTTTAGGTTTGTAAATTTTTTTTTAATTGTGAGTGGTTTCTAAAGATTTTTACATCAATTTTTCTGATACTACCTTGTTGTAGACAAAGGAATATTAAATATTTTTCCCTGGGCAGGGAGGGATAATTAAACTATAAAATTGTTCACTATAGATTTAAGATTAATGGCAAAATCTTAAGTGCCACTTTCAAATCCAAAAGGAGGAAACTCCTAAAAAAAACTCCAACCTTATTCAATAATGGTAATTTTCAAGAGAAAATTGAATACCCATAGATACTTCACATATGTTTACAATATATTGAAAAACAAATTATGAAAAATAGATTAATTATATTCTATTACTTTTTTTGCCGCTCCTGGGGCTTGAACTCAGAGCCTGTGCTCTGTCACTGAGCCTCTCTGTGCTTAAGTATAGAACTCTACCACTTGAGCCACAGTACCACATCCAGCTTTTTCTGAGTAGTTTATTGGTGATAAGAGTCTCACAGACTTTTCCTACCCAGGCTGGCTTCAAACCATGATCCTCAGATCTCAGCCTCCTGAGTAGCTAACATTACAGGCATGAGCCTCTGATGCCCAACTTGAAATTCTAATTTATAATAAAAATGTATAGAGAAAATAATAATCAATATGCTAGCTTCAGGTTGTATTTGTGTGTGTGTGTGTGTGTGTGTGTTTGTGCATGTGTGTGTGCTGATACTGTGGCTTTAACTCAGAGCCTCCAGGTAGCTGATCTTACTTGCTGAAAACTGGGGCTTTACTGAGTCATGCCTTCCAGTCTGGATTTTTGCTGGTTAATTGGAGATGAACTCTCCTACACTTTTCCACCACAGCTGTCTTTAAATCTTCCTATTCTCAGTCTCCTGATTACCTCGGATTACAGGCTTCAATATACTATGTTCCTAACATGCACTTATAAAAATAATAATAAAAATGTAACAGTCATCCAGGCTCTAGTGGTTCACACCTGTAGTCCTAGCTACTGAGGAGGCTGAAATCAAAGGACTGAGGTTCAGAGTCAGCCCAGGCAGGGATGTCTCAAAGGCTCTTAAGTTCAATTAACCACCAAAAAAGTCAGAAGTGAAGCTATGGCTCAAAAAGGTCAGAGATAGTGAGCTCAAGCCCCAGGACTGACACAAAAATGTAAAAAATAGTTCAATTTTACTGAATTTGAAAAACACTTGAACCAATTCAAGATGATTAGTGCTATGTAAACTCTTATACACTTATGTAAAACACTGTACACTATTATCATGTAAACTTTAAAGGAGAAACATTTGAAAACAGATCAAGAACATTTTATGTCTGTATCTATAACTTTAAATTCCACTAAAAAGGAAAGAAAAAAATAAAACATTCCTAGACATTCACAAAGATTTTCATTATAAAACTGATCTTGTAAGGAAAAACTAGAAATCAATTTATACAAACTCAAAGAGAGTCTGGCTTTAGAAATTATATGTCATCCCTGTGATGGAATATCATATAACAACAGAACTACAGGAGAATATTTAAAGATTTACAAAGGTAGTTCCTAAGGAACTATTATAGCAAAATTGTCCTCCAATGAAACAATGCATATTATATTATAAATATAAATGTGTAGATATCTATTTATTAAAATTATATTGTAAAGTAAAGCTTTTTGGAATAATTATAGGATTCTAATATTTTTACATTAACAATTCAAAACATTTCTATTATACTCATGTACAGTTTTTCTATAAAGATAAATGTTCAAAATAAATGAAATCACAAAATTTCCTTAGAATTGGCAAATTGCAAAATGATTTTGGTAGCAAGTGCAGGAAGTCATTCAAGTATCTAAGTCCTCACACAATTCTGGTAAACCTTATAAAGGTGGACTTAACTTTATGGATGATCAATTAGTAATCAAATCCTTCCCCCAAAGTCCCCAAAAGCTCACATTCTTTGGATACTTCAAATTTCATTTCAGCACCGATTGTTCAGGAAATGATCTTGAATGTCCTGATGGTTAATGCACATGAACATATTGGTAGATTTGAGTTTGAAAATATACCCAATAACAACCAAGATGTTCAACAATGATGAAGAACTTAAGCATACAAAACACACACACACACAAACACACAGACATAGGCATGAATATATATGTACATCCATTCATACATCTATCAGTATAACCATGTAGTCAATTGAATATTTGTGGCCAGAGAAAATATTTTAAAAGTATCTTTAATGAGAGGGAATGAAGTTCAAGAGTATGTGTATATAAATAACATACACACACCTTAATATGTTGAAAAGCAGATATAAAAACAGTATGTACATTATAATATCCATATATGACATATGCATAAGAAAAATACTGAAGCAACAGGAAAAACATTTCAGGTAGTTTTTTGTTGAAAATACACAGCACATACACATGAACAAGATTCTGGAAAGAATGAGTAGTCATTAGGATTGATAGCTGATGGCACTAATTTTCTTCTGTTAACTTGACTGCTTTGTAACAGTTTTCCTGCAAAAAGCTGAATTATTTTTCCGACAACAAGAAAAAAGACAGGAAGGGGCAGCTGAGGAAAGGTGTGATTAACAACGTTCAATTCCAGAGAAACAATCAAGGACAGCGAAATACCAACTGCAGCCCATCAAGCTCTGGCCAAGACACACACACACACACACACTCACACACACACACACACACACACGAGTACAGGCATGCGCACATATGCACGCACACACACGCACGCACACACATGCCCACGCACACACACAAAGACACACATACACACTGATTACAGTGGACCAGGAAGGAGACTATACAGAGGAAAGGGGCATACTCGTTTTACTAGCTGCGCTGGCTGGCACAAGTGCAAATCAGTACAATGCTTAGGAAGGGGCCTTTTGGCAACACACAGGAAGTCTTTGAAAGGTCTGCATGTGGATCCTGCAAGTCCACCGTTAAGCAGACCATCCAGAATGCTAGCAAAGATTTGGCTTGACAAGGAAGAATTCACTCATCAGAGCACACAGTGTTGGTTTTAAACACAGGGAAAGAACTAGGCACCACCTGAATGTCCAACAGTGTGGAATGGTTACAGAAACGTTAAGGTCCATGGATGCACAGGAGCACTCTGCAGGCACTGAAGATGACTGTTGGTTGGTTGGTTGGAAAGCCTGTTGAAGAACATGGAAAGAAGTTCAGTGGGTTGATTTCTGTTTGGTTTTAGTTGCTGAAAAAGCAGGTTAAGAAACACCACATACATGAACCACTCTACTACAGCATGTTAACAGGGCAGGTGAGGAGGGGTTGGGCACAGGGGTGGGGCCAGAGGGGGGCAGAGAGGAGAGAGCTGGCCAAATGTTTAAGCACACCAAAAAAGGTCAAAAGTGGTTCTCTGGGTAGCAGGATCATGGGGAGCAACTACACTCTGGGGGTTTCCCCTCCTCTGATTGCCTTCTTCTTTCTGAGAGCTCTGCCATGAAATGGTATCTATCTCCTGTGCAGTAAACAGAGCAAGAAAATGCCTTTCCAAAGCAAAGCAAACCACAGGGCAAGAAGCAGCCTTCACCTATCAAATGGCACAGATTAGTAGTATTAATCACAACTCCCTTGGTAGGGGTAGGGGTGGGAGTGAGGGTGGGGGTGGGGTAGGGAGAGGAGGGCAGGACAGAAAGAGGAGGGGAGGGAGAAGTTAGGGAGTGGGGGTAGAGGGAAACGAAAGGGGAGGGAGAGAGGGAAGGGAGGAAGCAAGGAAGCAAGGAAGGGGGTCAGGAGGGAGGGAATGAATGAATGAAAGGAGGGAGGGCAAGGAGGGAGGGGGAGAAAGCCAGGCAAGAGGGACAGGGGGTAAGGGGAGAAGGGACTGGGGGGTGGGCGGGGAGGCAAAGGCGAAGGCAAAGGGAAAGAGAGGGAAGGAAGGGGAATGGGGTGGCAGAGAGAGACCTGCACTCTCCATACAATACACTGCTGGTGGGTTGGGGGGAGGTGCGGGGGGGGGCGGGGGGATTGTAAACCGGGTGGGAGCCAGGGCTCGGCTCTACTGGGTGGCTCCTGGGATATCTTCATCGAAAGGTGGCCTCCTCGTCGGTGTCATCCTCGAAATCCCTGACGTCAGCGCTGGTGGACTGCCTGGCCCAGGCGCCCCTCTCGGCCTCTCTCTCTCTATGCGACTTGAAGCGGCCCACGAAGATCTTGCGGTAGTTGAGGAAGATGCCATTCATGGCATCGATGGCGCGGTCGGCCGACTCCTGCTTCTGGAAGTGCACGAACCCGTAGCCCTTGGGGCCCTTCTCGTCGCAGGCCACCTTGCAGGACAGGATGTTGCCGAAGGCTGAGAAGATGTTGTAGAGCGCCTTGTTGTCGATGGTCTTGCCCAGGTTCTTGATGAAGACGTTGCCCACCCCGCTCTTGCGGAGCGAGGGGTCCCGCTGGGACCACATGATGCGCACCGGCCTGCCTTTGATGACGTCGAAGTTGAGGGTCTCCAGGGCCCGCTTGGCGTCCACCGGCTGCTGGTAGTTGACATAGGCGTAGCCCAGGGAGCGGCGGGTGATCTTGTCCCTGCAAATGCGGATGGACAGGATGGGCCCGGCCGGGCTGAACTTCTCGTACAGCATCGCCTCGGTCACCTCGGGGTGCAGGTCGCCCACGTACAGAGAGGCCATGGGAAAGTCTGGGTTCCCCTCGTTGTCCTCGTCCGGCCCCACCCCCGCATCGGCCGCCGCCACCGCCGCCGCCGCCACCACCGCCTGGACTTCGGCCTCCTCCGCCGCCATCGCCGCCGCCAACTCCTCATCCAAATCCACCCTGGCCTCCCCCAAGGGGGGCGCCACCGCACCGGCCTCCGCCGCGGC